TCTTAAATAGTGTGTTCGTATTATGTGTGACGCGTCGTGCAAAATAAATGAATGAAACAAAATTAAAATAAATGATAACAATACTGTTTATAACATTGTTAATTTACACAGACTACATTTATCAGAGCTTTTGAAATAAATATATTTACTTTTTGTCACATTGTTTATATGAACATGATGTATATATGTTTTTCTTAATAAAAAATCGAAATGATATAATGGTGTTTGTGATAGTGTAAAAAAAGAGAATATTGACTGGCGTCTTTTCGCTCGACAATTGTCTTGTCATTATTTTATTAGCTAATTTCGTAAATGTAAACTATAAAGAATGACCGCTTAATAATTTAAAGATATTGAAATGCAACCTTTGCATTTTGTAGTCTCAAGTCGTGGGCATTGATATAATAATACTAATATGCTACTTTCCCCGTCACAAATAAGACAGTTTCCAGGCAAAAATAATGAAACAGGATTCAGTTAATACACAGTGGAATTGCACTGAAAAATGACACGGTAATGGCGTGTGTGCACACGAAGAATGAATCTATGTTCTGTACAAAATGCATTGTCTGCTTGTTTTGATAGTGGGCAAAGAGAGCGTTCCTTGACTTCATTTTCTTCGTTTTATGTTAAATTTGAATAGTTACAGTAAATCGTAATTAGTTTTAAATACCGATTCATCATATTAATGTTTATATTATATATTGGTGAATAATTAATTGAAATAATCGCATCACGTCAATAAGTCATCAGTTAAAGACGTGTATGTACATGAAGTTAGAAATAGACAATGAATGATGATGAGCCATCACTCGATGAATTTCTCTTGCTACCAATTCATATCTGCCGATTGTGTGGTTGTGAATTCTGGGGATTCCAGTATTGAAATGGGGGAAAAATAAATAGTCTGGGTACAGTGCCTAGACATACTTAATAGGTGTGCACGTTGATCAAACTGGTGGGATTTATAGTTGCTAGTATTCTCGCTGTATAACAACATATCATCAGTTAAAAACTTTAAAAAAGAGAAAAAAAGAATTCCATAAAGAAAGTCCAACACGGCAAAATTGAAACTGTTGCAGGCTCGATTTTCCACGTGACGTAATGCTTTTTGTTGGGCAGAAGTTATCCTAATTGAAGTAACAGATAGAAGCATGAAAGACGCTGTTTTATAGCAGACTGTTAGATTTGACAGTTAACACAGTTTGTGTCAAACATTTCTTGGTAATGTTTGTTTGATTCATGTCCCTGAAACATCTAAGAGAATGCATAGTTAGACACATCTCATCTCTAGTCTGGAATACAAGATAGTTTTAAGAATCCTTATAGTAGATTTTCTGAACCATTAAGAACTGGTGTCACAGACGGATGAAAAGCAAATCATAAAGGTCATATAGTTCTTGTCTCAAAAGAAATTAGTGTACATGTTTTTTTAATCATTTTTATATATTTTTGTGTGTGTGGAAAAATCGTAATAAGTTTAAAAATGAGAATAACTTTGTGACGTGAGAAAGTATATCTAAAGGGTTTTACTTTGTGATCAAACAAGTAATAACATCACCCAAACGGCCATTCACTATGTCATACATATGTACCTTTTATATAATGTATGAAAGTATAATAAAACATTTACAAAATAGAAAGGAGAATCTTGCTATATATATATATATATATATATATATATATATATATATATATATATATATATATATATATATATATATATATATATATATATATATATATATATACAGTCACATTTCTCCATTTACGGGGCATCGGTCTATTTGAGACCATACTTGTAATGGAGGACTGTATATGTAATGTGACTGTATATATATATATATATATATATATATATATATATTATATATATATATATATATATATATATATATATATATACAAACACACTAATATTCATGATTAAGGGAAGTGTCCTGTGTGAGAATTTACTTCACATCGCAGAACAGACCGGGATGCCATCAATTTTGTTCAAGGACTTCGTGTTGCATATGCAAAGGACTTGCTTATGTAAACCCGACTTTTTGTAATGTAAGAAGTGTTTTTTTATCAGCATATGTTATTATAAAAAGAAGAGCGGTTTGTATTTCTATTGCATGTCTTTGTTACCAGCTTTTACTAAATTAAGGAAAGAAATGTATACATTTTACTTTTGTGCGTGTGCCTATTTTTTATAATTATTGTATTTTGTCTATGTTTTTGCCTATTTTGGGGGTCTTTTTAGTGAACCCTAATACCAGGTTCTGTGTAAAATTAAAACGCCATGGCGCATAGGTCTTGCATAGATATTCAAATATCTTTATTGTTTAGATATGCACCTGTGTTTTTTAGAAGTTTGAAGTAAAGATTACCGTAATTTATGGGCTCAGATGTGCATCTACATGAAATGTATCCAGGATACCCGTAGTTAATTATTCTGGGAGTTTGTAATTACTGGTGTAAAAATTCATCTAGACAGGTTGGATATGTGAAGATGTGATAGATGATATCATTAAATGAAATGATCATTCAAGTTTTGTTGTATTAAAGTTACATTACCGATACAGACGACAATACTGAGTAAGACCTTTGCAAAAATAGCCATAGAGATTTTTGCATTTTTTGCTCAAAATGCTTTAACTGCAATATGGGTATAACTACATAATTGGTATTCTAAAGTGAACTTTTATTTAAGGAATTTGATTTGTATATAATTTAGATAATTTTCTTTATCAAAATATTGAAAAATCTACTTCAGCAAAGAAGACGTTTAAAGAGTCATAACTAGAATGTTGTGGTCACTAACAAGGACTACTCAAATTTCAGCGGTTGATAATTGTATGTGTAAGTGTATATTTATTTTATACATGGCATTGTGAAGATATATATCTTGGAATCAGAAATGTTGATAAACATTTATACAGAATTTCTTGAATTCTACTATTCAACACCCATTTGTAGAACTTTTTGGGAGAAACGAGGATGATAAAGTAAAGATGGTCAACCAACCGTACAGAGCCTGGTCATATTGGTTTATATTGTTGGTTAAAGGCCTAAAGAACTTTCGGTCCAGCTTTGTAAGGGTTAATCAGTGATGAGATAAAGTTCATTTATTTTATATGTGTGACAATGTCAATGCCCGATTACCTCATCTCAAAGCAGACGACAATTTCTGGACAGAATTAATGAGACAGGAAGCAATTATTACACAGTGGAATTACTTTGGTAATGACAGAATAATGATGTGTACACGTAACGAATAATCTTTTATATGTAAACTAGCTGCATTCCCAAGAAATGCATATGGTAAGGATTCAAGTCTAGATTACGATTCCATTTTTTTGTACTTGTCTTATTCTTCGACAAAAATACTTGGGAACCTCCCTAGCCCTGATGGTTAATCACTGGCTTTGTTTCACCTGAAACCGCATACTATGTGCTCGGATCTAAGACTCGCTAGATTGTTTCCTTGGAATGAAGCTATCCAGCTAGATTAATAAATACAGTCGGTGGGTTCAGTTAGGGGCATTCTAGCCAGGTACGCTCCTGTCAGAAATATAGGCCTACATGTAATAATGCACGGAGTGGCCCATGATGTCTTTCTTTACCTGAAAGAAATCTTGACAATGAAAGGCAAGCGTTCTGCTGGCAGGTCCATTATGATTTTAACTGATCTTTTCCTTCGTCTCCATATTTATTAAATTTATAAATAATTATTTAAATTAGATAGACATCCAAAGGAAAAACATCTGAATAACAGGCGACATCAACTGATAGGAGTTTTCACGGTGGTCCAGCCAATGTGTTATACAGAAGACAACGCTATGTTTTAACGTATCTGTGAGACTGCCTTTTATTTTCGTTTATTCTGTTCAAAAAACGCACATTTGTTGTTTTTACAATCAAGAAATTTCAAAATATTTGAACATTTTTAAAACAAAAACTGCATATTGGCCTTGAAGTCATCCTTATTGGGTGTTTTTTGCCAAGCCGAAAGTCCAATGGAGAATATGTTTTAGAAAATGATTTTAAACATGATTAACGTAATTGAACTTGACTTGCTTACGTAATTTTCAATCCAACTTATCAATTATTTTAACATACAATTTGAATCATAAATATGTTGTCTGGTGCAAGTGGCCATATGGTTAAGGTCTGTCACTAAGAATCACTTGTACTTGGTCGCTGTGAGTTCGATACCTGACAGGAACTTTAAGATTCTTTCAATGAAAGAACGATTCTTTATTCATGTGAAGAAGCTATCTAGCTATCTTAATTGTGGTTTGTGTTTCTATTTGGCACAATAATATACATGTTTGTTATATAGTCCTGAATATATTTTTCCGATTCAGCAGGTTTCTACTGACTTTAAAGAAAAAAATCAAAATACTTAATGCTTGCCTTTTGAACCGATGTCCACATGACTTTGTGCTGTTAGTTGAGTTACTGTTATAATATTAAGAATATCTAATATAGTATAGATGTAATTTATTCTAGAAATAAATTTTTTTACTTATATTTTAACATGTTCCTAAAATACAGTAATTACAGAGTATTCCCCCTTGGACATGTACTTGACTAATGACTGAATGACTTTGTATAACCTTGACCTTGATCTGAGAAAATCCAAACCTGTGTTTTGCACTTTGTCTCATGATTTACATTTCCGCCAATTAGTTTTAATATTAAACAGAGACAAAATTCTGAAATCATACAAAAAGAATGTTTGACCTTGACCTTGATATGAGGAACCCCATCCTTAGGTTGAGCATATCCTTTTATTATGGTTAACAGTTTTGCAATGTATTTTTAATTCCATTCATCAGTTTAAAAGAAACAGTGCAGGCAATTGCTAATGGACAAACAGACGGACAACCACAGGCATTACATTATCTGAAATTGGTTCACGGGTATAAAAATAAGAAATACTGAAGATTCTCATCCTAATATGCTCTCCATCAAACTCATGAAATAAATATAAACACTCAAAATTTGTTAAACATATTTTTTATTATTTTGTAGAACATCGAAATTTGAATATATTTATCACAATAACATATTCAAGTAAAATAAATAAGTATACAATTATACATACAAAAACATCTCATTATAAAATATCATCAAACATTCTTAGATAATATGGCAACTTTCACATGTAAATACACAAATGTTTTGTGTCACTGAATACAAGTGCAACTAATACTTTTGAAATAAATATAAATCCCATATTACTGAATTGTCAAAGGGAGGTAATTCAATAATTTCGAAAATAACCAAGCGTTAAGTCTTACAGTGTCACCTATTGTATGTAAGTTTAATTATTCATCCGTTTGCTTAAACACATATAACACAGTTTTTCCATTGCACATCACTCCCATTTAAACACATATAAACACAGACATATTATTTCCAAAACACCTGACAGAAAAAAAAAATAACACACATTCTTGGACTGTATCTATGATACAATGTGTTTATAATATTTCTTTAATGAAAGTCAAGGGTTCCAGTCAAGCTGACCCATCAATGCCAGGTTTAGATAATAGACTGTGTTAATGATATATAAGATGCAATGTTTCACATATTAAGATAAAAGAGCCCCAGTCTACATCTAAACATTTGCATGATGATCTGATTATAACTTGTTTAGTTTCTTGTTGTTTGATTATGACATCATAGAAATACCATGGTAACACAGAACAGGAAGTGACAGTGACTAGAATTTTTGTAATACAGGAAATGACATCATTTAAGTTCACCAATGGTACAGTAATGGCAGATGAATCTTTTTAGGCCCTGAAACAAAAACAAAAATGATTAAAATAGTTAATCTCCTTTCAAGTGTGTCTTAAAATATATGATATAAATTATTTTAAGTCCCAGATGAAAGATAACACACATACAACAATAAATAACTTCATGACAGTTAATTGGTATATTTCATGATTAACATATAGAGATTAATCCAATATTACTAAATGGTTTTCTTAAATATTTTGTTCAAACATTATTACCTAATCATAAAGTACTAAAAATTTCAAAATATAGTCAAACAAATCAACTGAATCAGAGGTGTGCTTGACTATTTATATTCTCATGTGCACCATAAAAAAATCCATGTGAAGATATTAAAATAAGTAATCCTGTGAAACCTGTAATCCTATGAAATCATTTAAAGTGTATTTTGATACCTTAATTACAGTAGTAAGTAAAGATAACAAATACAATCAAACCTGCGATTAAGACCAACTCCAAATAATGATCACCATGCAAATTAAGGCCATTTTTGACAACCCTCCTTAATAAGATAATACAGGGTAAAATTCCAAATAAAGACCACTTGTCTTTTTAAGCCACATTCAGTTTCTCCTTAGGGTGGCCTTTGAAGGTTTGACTGTACAATTGTTTTTTTCTCCAGAACGTTTAACTTAATTACAGTATGACCAAAAGAACTTAGCATAGTTAACAATATTGTTGCCTTTAATTAGCAATTTAGACTTATCAAAAAAAGTGAAGCACATGATATTGCTCCTTTTTGTAAAAACAGAAACTTATTTGAACATTTGTAACAAAAAACATTGCATACCTATATTTTACTTAACTGTGTTTCTTTCCCTCTTCTATGCCATGGGATTTTTTAGCTTGAATACTATGTCAATGCTTGGTCACCAGAACAAGGTTATTCATCTTTGTGCCTTAGAGAGCAGCTGGACCCTCAGTTGAACAAACATCATCTGAACCATGGTTTCACATATATCACACTAAATAAATACTGAATATGGCCTTGTTTTTTTTCTCTCTGACCCCTGCACCCCCTTATTTTTTCGATGTTCCAGCTGAGATTTTGCTATTATAGTTTGGAACATTCCATAGTCTAATTAGAAAAGGGGGTGACAGGTGTCAAAAATGTCCATTTTATATCACATCATTAACATATCACTAATTAATTTCACACCATACAATCCCTTGTATTGTCTCCCTCATTAGAGTTTGTATCACTATGGATACCGGAGTCTGTCTGTAAAAGGACTACTTTATTACGAGATCTGTCGAGTGAGTCATTCGGCAGATGGACTGCCATTGTTGATAATCCATGTCTGTGAGGGTCAAGGTCGCGCCTTGTCATTTCTATATTGTCAGTATTTATAACATCTGGTCTATTACTATAATCACGGTTACTGTATGGCAGGGCCATGCCCTTTTTAAATGAGAACGGGATGATTTCCTGATGCGATATTGGAGGCAATGGTCGGGTGAAATCTGCAATAAATAAAGACACAATATTACATTAGTTTTAATGAAAACCCGAAAGTGTAATTACAAATTGGTTAATGTGATTATAATAGTACTGAAATCTGCCCTGGTAATTCATGAATACTAAATTAAGTCAAGTCCAGAAGCTCGTACTTTAACATTTTTTTCACTAAATTTTTATGAAGCTATATCTTTTTATCTTAATGTCATATTTCATAGTCTTTGTAGTTTAAAATAACTACAGTGTAGTTGGACATTACTAAATCGGATGCATCATGATGCTAATTTATATGATGTCATTAAAATCTTTATAAAATTGTAGGGCATTCTACTTTGCTATGCCTGTCAATGTGAAGAACGGGAACTAAATTTCTATCTATATTTCACTCAGTTTTAAACAGTGTGATATGACTTATATCCCACTGATACACTTCAGTATCTCAATGAAAAGCATATGATAAAAACATCTAATAGTCAACAGGAAAGTCGAAAGTATTTCCTTAATATCTGATCGTTAATCTGTTATCAGAAATCTATCTTATATTTAATCTGTTAAAAACATGCCAATTAAAAACTACCGAGACATCCACTTCCTTAGTAAGTAAAAGAAAACAACTTGCATACATAGTTACATTAACATAGGAGCAAAATTAATAGGCATGAAAAATCATAGTAAAAATTATCATACTACTTTTTTGTCAAAACTAAGATTATAATAGTTTCAAAGTTATCAGAGTTTAACTTTCTCATAAACTAGCAAATTAAAGTTACATTAAACCTTCCGTTTGATTTATCCAGTATAATATATACCGGTACATTAATAATGAGATTTTAACTTTTTGGCAAAAGTAGTACTTTGCCAACAATATTAAAGGGCAACAATTACACTTTCACAATTTTTTTTTCACCTTACTACAGAAAGGAGAAATGTGAGCCAGGCCTGGTCTAGTGGTCAAGGTGTCTGACTCTCAACTCTTAGATTATGGGTTCAAGCCCTACTTGAGTCACAACCAGTTTCATTTTACTCCACCGCTGTTTAACTCTAGTGTACTGATTGGAAAATGATTCAAAACTTGCATCAAGATTTCTTGACTATCATGCTTCCAGAAATAATCTTTGAATTGTTTATTTATTTGGTTTTCTGGTTTTTAAGGACAATTTTAACATATTTTTTTGGTCATAATCTCACGAGTCTATCCACCTAACCAGCTTTTTCTGGATATTTAACCAACCAGAAATTACCAATATCTCTGGAAGTGACTGACTGTAATGTTTAAAGTACTTAAAAGAAAGACAACTGAAGATTTGCTGCTGTAAAAGTCCCCAGAGAGATTCAAACCTACAAAGACAGGTTTGAGCCCTGTCCTTATCATTTATTTGAGCAGAGAAACTCTCTATATAGGGTCTTACCCATCATTTTATCCCTCGGTGACTGTGACATGCTTGTATGAATTTCCTCGTCACTTCCTCCCCGCCCACTATCACTGGTGCCAGTATCTCCTGATGTTTCACTGTGGTTATCTTCCACTTTCTTCTGGCCTGGAGACAGGAATGTCAGATTTGGCTGTAAAATATAGTATAATAATATTGATAGAATGATTATAATATTATACAATATTAATTTTAATATCATAATATTGTTTACAATATCATAATATTGATTATAATATCATACAATAGAGAAAACGGAATCTCCGCCCAAAATGCTAAAATTAAAAATGTTGCAGGCTCTGTTTGATTGAGCCTATTCATGGACAGTACTGGAAAGTGCAAGTTACTGCCCACTAGCACGGGCTGAAGAAGAATTCACAATTAAACATGAAAACTGTGAAATTTTGAATTTAGAAACATCTGCAGATAATATTGTTTGTAATAACATATAATTATAAAATAGTGTAAAAATAAATATAATAAATATAATGAAAATGACAAACTGAATGATAATGTTGGTGGTGGTGGTATTGATGATGATGACAACGATGATGATGATGATGATGATGAAATACATTTTTGATCATAGTACATGCATAAAATGAGGCATGGTCAATGTACATAGTTAGTATGTTTTTTTTTTGTTTGTGCTATTTTTTTTTCTATTTAATTATTTACACTTTAATGTAATGAAAGCCTGAAGTTTGTTGAAAAATTCATGATAAACCTTGAAGGAAAAAAAACCCCGGTCTATCCAAGATGTATGGTGAGCGTATGTCATTTACTGCATTAAAGGTTAGCCAATGTAACTTTACTGTACTAAAAGGAAATTTCTTTCAGTCCCAAACATGGTGATATACTTCTTCTTTATTTTTTCCGCAACATTATCATGCCAACAGTTTTTCTTGATATAAAAATTAATTGCTCAATGTAATACATGAATATATAATTTGTTATATTTGAGTGAGGAAACGCGCTCAATATTGCAGGTGTATTCTTAATGAAATAATTTTCATTACTTTTTATTTCTGTTCATAAAAGCAACAGGAGGTCGAATTTTGAAAGTACGAGCAAATTTCATCAAATTATATACACTTTATATTACACAATATAAAATTCTTGACATATGACTTTTCCATTTGATTTCACTCATTTTGTCAATCGCGTCAATAAAATTCACCATTTAGAAAACATATTAACGCGTAAAACTGAATTATTGTAGCCAAATCGTTCTTTTATGGTCGCCAGCTTTTACATTAAAGGGCTAATTTAGTTGCCTAAGACGGAATAAAGACTTCATATTATTGGATACAGAAGCGAATTAAATCATTTTAATAGAAAGCAGCTGGACAGCCATTCTGGTTGTTAAACGTTACAATATAATGTTATATTTTACAACATAATTTTCCATTTCAATCTACGTACAGGATGCTGCATGCATTATTACATTTATGAAGCCCAAAACCCTCTGATGTGGTGACGGATTTTATTCTGTATTCCGATTAATTATTCATTTGCCATTAATAATTTAAACATAAAAAATACCTCTTTTTTCTGGCAAGGATCACATGATAGCTGGTTAGAGAGTTAGAGAAAGACTTGAGCATTCCTTTCTATTAATTTTTTTTTATCAGTAACACAAAACATCACAACCCCTACATCCCCATCACAAAAAAAAGAGTGAAAAAAATCTACTTTTCACCATATTTGAAACTTAATTAGAAATATATTCAGTTGAAATTTTGTAATTTACTTACTCTGATTCTGTTAGTTAGGATTTTTTTTTAAAAATTTAGATGAAGCTTTATATTCTGCTCTTTGTTTTCTTCCTTTTTTCTTAATTCTTGTTTTGTTGGCAGAGTAACAAAATGTTATCATCTTAATAAAAGTATGGTAATTCAAACACCTGAACTATTTAGACCAAACAATTGTATCATGGCTGAGTCACCTATGGTACAGGCTTATAAAACATTTCTTAATTATAGACGTAAGGACATTTTAGACTGATTTACAAACTTCGAGCGAGAGTTTGACCATTAGGTATTTTAAAATGTATTTTATTAACAATAGATTTAGAAAATCGAAAATGCGAGGGAAGTAACCCATACGAAGTTCACGTAATTATCACAATCGTCTTTAGTGAGGACACGTCTTTTATTCGAAACCCATGCCCTATCCCATAAATGTAATGATCGCCACTGATTTAATTGTTTAATGGACAAACGAGGGTCAGTGTCGCAATATTTTACCCATGATTCCTTATTAGGGAAGTGATCATGTGACTCGGTTACAATAAGATCCTACTAATTCACAATGATGAAAAGGACATATATCTTCTCAATGGATTGAACATATTGTATAGAGCCCTGCAGGAGACCATATTTGCGGCACAGTCTACTGACACTTTGACTGTAAATCTAACATAAAACTTGCAAGCCATGACAATTACAAAACTCCATTAAAAACTGAGTACCAGTCCATTGAATTATTGCTCAGACGCAGTCGCAGTCTGTTAAAATCATGGTAGCTAGAAGCTTAATTACTTTTATGGATGTTTGTCAGCAAAGCAATCATAATTTTAAGATGGAAATCATACTGTATTAATTTCATAAAGTGTGTTTCTACTGTGGCACATCTCCAAGCAATGTTTTGCAAGTAAATTTCTGGCAGCATAAAAAAATCACTTTTCAGAAAATTATTTCCAATTTATTCCATAGTCAGCAGATTTTAAATTAATATGAAAGAAAGAAAATGAACAAAACATATGCTATTAAAGATGTATAAAAAGTTCTTTCCTTGTGTCTTTTGTAAACAAACTCATGGAAATCAAATCTAGACAAATAATCAATAAAACTAAACCATGGAATTAAGATTTATAAATTAGAAACATATTTTTGTATATCTTTAGAGGACTTTACCAGAAACTTTAATTACACACTTCAAAGTAAATTACATAATTTATTGAAAATTAATTTCAACATTTATTTAATCATGGAGCATTATTAAAATAACTTATACCAGACACAAGTATGTACATCAAAAGAAAATAAAGGGAGGCGACCCCAGGCTATATATAAATATAAAAGTATAAAAAATTCTTACATATTTGATTTCAAAGATAATTATATACCAATTAACACATTCTGTGATGTCATGATAACTTCTGATTTTTTAACATAGGTGAAATATTTCAATAATGATAATTACATAGTCTTCAGACAGCCATGTTTCCAAGGTGTGAATTACAGGTGTTTTTTTTTAAATAATGCACTATAAGAAGAAAAGAAACACTATTAAGTATTGTTTAGTCTTATGATTATTTAATAATGCAAGAATGAATCCTCAATTATAAATGCCTTCACAAAGTATTGGTCAAAATTGCATACACAGGATAACAATAAACAAAATTACATACTTGAGTATTGCTCAATAATGCCATTGGTCAATACTGCCTTCACAAAGAAATATACCAAAGCATTTCTTAATAATGCCCTCACAAAATATTATAAGACTTAGTATTGCTTAATAATGTCTTAACAGGATACTGGTAGTTATAATAATTATTGCTCAATAATGCCTTAACAGGATAGTATAATTATTGTTCAATAATGCCATCACAGAAAAATGTAACTCAATAATGCCTTCACAGAATAATTATAGCAAAGTATAATTTCATTAATAATGCCTTCACAAGATAGTATAAGACTTAATATTGCTTAATAATAAAATGCCTTAACAGGATAGTATAATTTATAATTGCTCAATAATGCCTTCACAGGATAGAATAAATATTGTTCAATAATGCCTTCACAAGATAGTATAAGACTTAATATTACTTAATAATGCCATAACAGGATGGTATAATTATTGCTTAATAATTCCTTCACAGGATAATATAACTTTTATTTCTACAATAATGCCTTCACATGGTACTGGTAATTGAAAATAAAAAGAGACATGGGAGATATAGAAAAATATATATATAATAATATGTACCCCAGAAAAACAAAGGCAATAACTTTTATCCATGAATTATTAAAACATATGAGATTAATATTTATCAGTTTATTTCTTTCCTGTTGAATAAATAAACAAAAGTAGGATTTTCTAACACTGTGAAAACCAAATGAGAGCATTATTTTTTTGCAGGTTATGTTTACTTTCACTGGTCCCTAGCAGTATAGGTATTACTTATTTATAAATAAAACATGAAATAAAAACACCTTGGCCCTATGATCAATGTCTGTGTCCACTTTATGGCCAGTGGAACATCATGGTCATTTTAAGCTTCATTGAAGATTATGGTCAGTTGATGGGAGTCCTGCCGACCATTTCAAGGGCCGAACACTTTGTAATTATCTATAGATTGAATGGTGCTGTATTTTAACAAGGGTGTCCGCACATTAAACAAGCATCACCTGTCCTGTTCTTTCACCTTAATAACTACAATTAAGTATTATGACCATTTAAGATCACTGCATGCTGCTATTGTTTTCCGCAGACTTGTGCATGACGGAACATATAATGGGCGATATGTGTCGGTACAGGCTTATCTAAAATTGTAATCTGATTGACTTTCATGATTAAATTAATAGGAAATCACTTCGTATACAATAAATGTCTAAACCGTTTCCTATTCCATTTTCACACATCGAGGTTAAAGACGGCATGTGCATGTGTTTCTAGGTATTGTTGTTAATTAGAGACATTGTGGGTACACTTAACAAAATTAGCTATGAAAGTCAGAACAAAGTGCAATAATAGAATATGATTGGTTTCAACACTGTTAAAGTCATCAGGAATTCATTACTCGCCTCGGTCAGTTGACGATAGCTGAATCATAAAAAAGGCGAATCATTTAAGTCTCTGAAGGAATAAATATTGTACGGAAACAAAAGGATGCAAATGAAGAAACCATATGCATTTCCCATTGTATTGACAGGATAAAGCATCAGCGCACTTGGCACAAAGCAAACCGTACAAAAGACTTTTTAACTTGATTTCTTTTTTTCACTAACCGGTAATTACCAAAATTGGAAATGCAAGACAAATTGCAGAAGTGGCAATTTGGTTCAAGTAATTCATAAACGACCAACATAACTAGATTTGCCTCCGAAAAGATGATGTCCCCCT